GCTCTAACAAAAGCATTCACTACCACTGACGGCTTCTTTGTTTTCTTGACTGTTTGGTTGCTTGATTGTTTCGCCTCTGTTATGGTATGTGTTTGCTTATTACACTACTACTAACTGTCTGTCTGGTTTGTTGCATTATTGCATGTTATTGAAGAAAACGTAAAGAAAACAAAAAAAAACAAAAAAAAAAAAATGAAATATTTACAAAAACAAAACAAAACAAAAAGAAAAAAGAAAAGACAAAAACTTACCCGCAAGCAACGTAAATGTCAAAGTTATCCAAAAATGTGTTAACGGCAGATGCATCTTTGCATTAAATATTATGAAAATACACACACGCACAAAAACACAAACACGCACAAAGAGACACTGGGGTATATATTTATATTTAAAGCGAGTAAGCAGACGCACAACTGTTGGCTATACGAAAAAGTCAGTCCTTTTACGTTGAAAAAGAAGTTTAACTTCAATGCGTTGAAAACAAGTTTATTCCTTAACGATTATCTACTGACTGATTGTATCATCTGCCAGTTGTTATTGTTGTTGCTGTAGTCGGTGCACATGCCAACATAAAAATTATATTTTAACTCAATTTAAACATAATTTCAGCTGTTACGTCTTATTTGATGTTTTCAAGTTTATTTCTTTTCTTGGAATATTTTCATATTTTGTTTCTCTTTTTTCTTTTCGCCTTAACACCAGCAGTCATCAGTAAATTATCTAAAGTACTTATTTCTTAACTTTCTTTTTTTACATAATTTTTTTTTATCTTTATTTTTTTTGTATTTTTTTTTAATTTAATCTCTTACAAGATTTGCTTTAGTTCAAAAAGAATTCCTTTAGTCCAAGCGAAAGCATTAGAGGAATGCAACGTTCACGTTAAACAAAAATACCGGCTTTATATTAATAATAAAAGCCATAAATAAAAAATAAAAAAACATCAGCGCAAGGATTGGTTTACTTGCTTGCTAATAGCATCGTCATAGATTCACACAAAAAGTTCACTTTCTATCGTTCACTTTAAATGATGTTGTATTCACTTTTGCGGCTCAAACTCAACTGATTAGCCGCAACTGGAATTGAAGTTTGTCAAGCGAATTTTGTGCAAATACATGAAACGACAACGATGTATTTAATTTCTCTTGTATACCCCACACTTACACATTTACGCGCGTAAGCATAGGCAGCCATCAAGTTTATGACAACGCTGCTGACAGAGAAATGGAGTAATTTTGTATCGCACGCAATTACTATTACGTAAAGCAAAATCTATCTCAAAATCCGCGCGTATGTCTCTGCTCTCCAAGAAGTTTTTTACGTTTGATTTGAAATGCATTAAGATGTTTGGCTTAGCATATAGGACTCAATGTTTCTTGTAATCAGTTGGCAGTTGCCTTCTTCTTCTTCTTCTTCTTCTATCATCCCAATGTTAGTTAATTGTCGACTTCAAACAATATGTTCGTTGCGTAATGTCGGATTGGTTTAAAGGTTCGCTTAGAACTCGAACCTTGAAATATTACAAAATTTCATTTTTACTTCCTTTTGTAAATCAAAACGCAATTAAAGAGTAATCTGGTTGCAGAGATTTTTCGAAGTTCAAACCTTATGCTTAACATCTCGTCAAAAATATTAAGTTACTCTTAAGGCTCAAAACCCTATAGAAAGAGAAAAATGATTTATACTAAGGTTCTTAACTAACATAGTATAAAACTTATCAGAACTTGGAATATAATACTTTTAAGCAATCTGATTAGTAGTATAGTATATATATAAATATATATATATATACGAGGGTGTATTGTAAATTAGAAGCCGTACCGCATGAGCTTATCAATGCAAGTGCCTTTATTCTTAGATTAGCAACATCTTAACTGACATATATGTCGAATTTCGCACTGATATCATCAATATACGGTTAGCGTATGCATGCTTCGATATTTAAACTGAATAAAAGGACTACGGTAAATCCCCTCTCATTAAATGCTCCTCACCACCCAACACTTATGCATAGAACGACTTTTCAAAATTAAGTTGCTTGTCTAGGGAAAGTTATTGAAAAGGTGACCCATCCGAACTATTCTCAATAGCAAAGCAAAGCAGTGCACCAGTTTCCATCGAAGAGCCTTAAAAATTTCAGCCTGCAAATTGAGCGCAAGGACGCAAAACGGAGAGACAGACAGATAATCTTAAGCCGACGCAGAAAGTAATTCTCACTCGACCGGTATAATAAAAAATAGGAGCTATCTCGAGTTCTTCTGGGTGTTGGCTACATCCGCACAAACTTAACATACCATCATATGACAAGTGATGTAGAGTATTTATGAATGAAAAAGTTCAGCAAGAAATTGACTTTAAAAATTACATTTCAACCTTCGAAATGTTAAAAAAGACGAGCGACGTTTTTTGCTTGCTTTAAGTTGTTGAAAGAAGGCAGAGAAAGCGTAGAAGAGTATCAACTCCTTGCAGGCTTTAAAGAACTCAAGGATTTCACGCTTTAATTGACGCAAATATTATTTCAGTCCGTACAATCGAGATCAGTTAACTATCAGGTCTTACGATAATGCGGTTTTTCCCATGGCATTAATTCATTAAGAATTATTCGCCCGCAGTTAAGATCGAATCATTCTGCGATTCGCTTGACTTTTGACACCATTCTCGAAGCTTAAAAACCGCCATGAGCACATCAAACTGAGGCAGTTAGCCATAGGTGAAACAAAAAAATTAACTTTTTTAAATGAGAGTAAAGAAGTGTATCTTATTAGCAAAGGGAGATATTGGGTTGAAAGTTGACAGACATCACAATTGTAGGGAAAAGAACTAGTCTTCTAGATAGGAAAAATTCGAAAATTATTATACGCTTGCAGCCTTGTATAACAGTTAGACAGTCGTTTAAAGCAAGAGTTAGCGGCTATAAAAGCTTTCTTCACTATTGATATTGGGCAGAAATATGGACAGAATTTTCACAATACGTTGGCTGGAAAGTCTCAAGAGGCAGCATACAGTCAAACTGTTGGTTATTTGCAGCACCGTTAGGAAGTTGACAAGAAAAAGTTATGAAGAATCTTCGAAAAAAGTTGTAAAATTTTCAATAAGAACACTCTTATGCCTTAGTCCTCCATAGTCTCTAAAGTCAAAGCAGGTCTTAGAAAACCTACTCAGTCTTATAAAAGAATGATTAGAATATTTTCATGAAATGCTTGAGTAAAAAATAACTGAGATGGTTTACTACGACTGCTGTACTTGATCATTTAATTTCCCGCATCTTTATGCGTATCTTAAGTTTAGGCAACAACAGATTAGCCTGCGAACCAGCAAAAGTGATTAACGCATAACTAAGGAAGCAGACAGCTAAGCGAAAATTACAAAATTCACTACATCCGATAAATCTTGCACTGTAGGTTAATTTATTATGTATTTTAATCCTTGGTGCGTGTACTTTACAAACTCTCTCTGTCCAAACATATGCCTTCGATTCTTTCTTCACTGCTTATAAACTTACAAACTCCTCATATAGTTTTGCGTGGGTTCCTATCTTGAACACCTAACCCCACGGCATCCAATGGCGCACAAGTTATCTTGACAGAGAGACGAGAATAATGTTTTCTTGTAAATACGAATTTTTTGGACCAACCAACATATTGACATTTTCTTATTGTTATATGGAGATACATGACAAATTCCACATTTCTTTCAATAATAAATCTCTTGATAAATCCTATCGGGCGTCTTTGTATTATGACACCCGCACGTAAATCATTATGCAAATTTTTATTTTTTTTTGTTTCTTTTCCAACATTTTATAAAGTTTCGTTTTCTGTACCATTAAATAGATTTCATTCAGACTTATTTCATCAAATGTCCGATTTTCGTGACAATACTATGCTTTTCCACTCTTACAATTTATTAAATACTAATTGGCGGGAGAACAGCTCTCGTGAAAAATTGTGAAGTAGGCGCAGATGATTTTTTCTATTGTGAACGTAAAAGTTTTTGTCGTATAGACATGTGGGCGTTGTAGGCGTGTTCTTCGAAAACTTGAAATCATTTCCAAATTCCTTTGCAAATTTGTAGGCGCTATATGCATTGTTTCTAACAGGAGAATGTTTACCACAAATGCTTCACTGTTGCGCAGACAGACAGATGGACAGAGAAACAGACGGACATGTTTAATTGCATTCCAAATTTGAAATTGGCTAAGAATTTTTATATTTTTGGCGTTTTTTGATGCTTGATACCCTATAATATTGCGTAGGCCTGGTCAATTTTTCCCATTTGCCGGCGTCGCTCATAAAAAAAGCGTTCAAATTTCTGCAGATTTATTTACCGCAATTTTCTGGTAATGATCAAAAAATCAGTTTAGTAATCCTTTTGAAAAACGGAGTTATTCTCAGTTTACGTGGTCGGATCCAATTTAGCCGATTTTCATTACGAAACTGGCGTAAAAGAACTTTCATGTTTTCTGCCAAGTCGATGGTGTCATATTTGTGGCCAGGAAAATGTTTACAACAGGCATTAGACAGACGGACGGACGGACGGACATGCTTAAATCGATTTAGAATTTGATGCTGATCAATAATACATAATTTATGCGATCTCAGATTCTTACTTCATGGGCGTGATGGGTATAAAAACATATTTATTTATTTATATTATTTATTTATTTTATTCCACTTATACTAGAAACTCAACTAAACAAATAACAGTCGAGTTCAATAGGCTCTTAATGCAAAACTAATATTAATTAACAATAAAGTTGAGTATAAGCATAATAAAACAAATAAGAAGGAAAAAAAAGAAAAAGAAAAAAGAAAAAAAGCATGTACACAACCGGTACAGGACCAAATTGCAAATGAACCCCTAAGCCATGCATAAGCCTGGCAACCGATAATAAATTGACAATAATTCACTTTCGAAACGTAACGACTTTTTAAGGATGAAAGCTAGTTTAAATACGACATAGGTAAATCGCGCGTATTAAGCAATGTTGCTTTAATGGACTTTAAAGAGTCCGATAACGAGAATAAATGATAGACGTCATTTAGGTTCTTGCAAACGACTCTGAGCGGATTGAACAGCTCATAATTAAATTTACACTGATTAAGCTTAACCAAGATAAAATGCCTAGAGAAGCGGTTAGGGACATTAAAGCTTATTTCACCAAGTAATGAAGGCGAGTCAATAGCACCATTTATTACTTTAATTAGAAAGGAAACGCCAAGAACAAATCTACGTTTCTCCAGAGACGGTAGGGACAGCAGAAGCAACCTATTTTCATACGGAGGAAGAAAGGCAATCGGATCCCAACTCATATTAATGGTAGATAAAAATATTTTCCGAAAAAAAACTGCGAAAAGTCACTGAGCGTTTAGTTCTAAATTGCTGTTTATCGCGAAGTAAAAAAAAATAAATAAACTAAGTACCAAACTTAAAGAAGTATTAGGTAGCAAGCACATGTAAAACAAAGCAAAGCTTTAGTTACGATCACAAAACCGCGAAAACTAAATTGTTTGCTATTAACTGTCATGCACAGTTGAAGGCACGAACACTGAAAGAATGCAATGTGCAAACCGAGTTATAACAATTTTCAGAGATATTACGTAGCTTTAGATTTTTCATATATCTTGAAACCTGTTGAAATACGTCGGAAAAATCTTATTGCATTCCTATGAGCAAAAACCTTCAGTTGCTTAATCGTTCATTCAGCGTCGTTTGTATGCGGGGAGGCATATTTCAAGCAATTTTGGCGGTGATACATCCCGGAAATAGTAATGAAATTAGGTTTTCTTGCTAAGTCTCAGCGTCCCTGAAGACATATTAAAAATCTTTGCTAAAACTTTTTATAACCTACTGTGTATATTGTAACTTTCCGCCGATTGCATACATGCACTATAACACCATATATGATTTCGTGCTTTATTTTCTAATAATCATCGTTTTGTTATTCTTTCCATATCGTTCAATTATCAATTACGTTGGCAGAGGCGTAAACCACTTTTTAGCAAAGACAAAAATAACAACAAACACAACTCCTTATATGGTTACACAAATATTCGCAAACACAGCCCCATTATAGTTGAAAGAAAATTATTTTCTGCAAATAAAAGCATACACGCCCACCACCACAACAAATATAAACTCGCAACAAACAAAAGAAAAACTACGACTGATTCGTATAATTAAAAGATGTGTGTGTGCTTTATGAGTTGCTCCAACTAACCTTCAAGACCAAGGAATT